CACATTAATGTGACATGCAATGTAATATGACGCAACTCACTGATATAGTTCGGCGTGATGTAATGTAATGTAAATTTCCATTGCTCAATACCCCCCCTCGCTGTGAGTAATCTTCAAAACAGGTTATCGAACCCAATCAGACCATGATCCTCGGTCATAAGAGGATGACAGAGATAATAATAATAATAGCAAAGTCTGAACAAAAACCGAAATAGTTCAATGACTCGTTGACATGTAGCAGGTTTATACCATCCCAGTACTATGATGATGACGTCATATTGAGTAATAGTAAATGGTGTATATTCATTCACACATGTCGACTTCGGGCTGGGACCTGACACTTTCGCGTGTTCACGTAGCCCTCGCAATCAGCCTCGTCACTTTTATCCAAACAGTCGCACACTCCATCGCACCTGCGACACTTATCCAGGCACATGTTATCGCTTTCGCACTGTATGTAGTCTAGTATTTTCTTTTCTATGAACGAACTCTTACAATCAGCTATATAAAAATACAAGAAAAAATGCATTGTTAAGCGAACATTTCAATCACTGTATTAATTGACAAAATTGTTCGGTAAGTTTTGAAAATGTTAAAATTGAAAAATTGAAAACTGATTAATAGGGCATTGATTCTATTTTACTACGGGATTTTATTTAATTTAAGATCACAACATTTAACATAATAATTTAATATCAACTGATAATAATATGTTAATGCCACTAATATACCAACATCCATATGTACGCAGTATAGCGGTATGTGTTCAAGTTCGTATTCGAGCATGAACGTATTGTACAGTTCCTTTGTGTGCGTGAGATATGCCTATGCGTAATCCGTTTTAAAAATTAAAATGAAATATTCAAACGGATTCAAAGCGTATATATACTTGTATTATTCCGCCGTGTGCAGTCACTGTACACGTACAGAAATTGGTATTTGGTACTTTGTTCGAAAGAATACTGAGGCTGTCAAGCAGCTCAAAATGATATTAATAACTGTTTTTGCTAAGAATAACTTTTGGTAACGAACTAACAGTGAATTGAAACGTCGTTGTTTATTTCGAAATTATTGTAATTGTGTTCCAATGACAGCAAAAGAGAAACACTGAACACATTGCGGGAAATAGTACGATATCTACCAGATTGGCCAGAAACTGCAACGACAGGGGTTCCCCCACGGGGCGCGTGACACGTGTGCGGCACCGTGATGCGGCAAACTCGGATATTAATATCGAATGATTCAGTATATTGAAATGTAAAACAAATACTGTAAAAGGGTTAATTATTCACTGGGTTTTAATTTAGCTTATTTCGCTGACTGGAAAATGCGCTAAATTAAAACCCAGTGAATAAATTATGTAAAATTTAGCAAAGAGCACATTATCTAAATGATAAAACCGTGAATTTATAACCCACCGAATATGCCTGAAATGGTAAATCAGTAAAATTTAAACCCAGTGAAAATTAGTCATTTTACAGTATTAAGTTTACGATTAGATATGCCCAGCCCGGGATGTCAGTGATTACAGTGGCGGATCCAACAAAATGTATTGGGGGAGGGGGAAAAGCTTCGCTTAAAATTACGGAGCGTAAATCGCAGAGAAGCCATGCGTATTCCAGATGATATGAATCGTTATGCGTTTGAGGGGCCATAGCCCCCCCCCCCCTCTGATTCGCCACTGTCCAATTACATCACCAATCGCGGTCTACTCCCTCAAGCGTACGTACCTTCGTGTTCGGCGTCACAGTCCATTTCATCCGATCCATCATTACAGTCAATGATCCCGTCACATTGTCGTGATTTGGTAACACAGACCGTCTCCCCTCCAGCACACCTGAATATTCTGTTTTCCGGCATCTGATCACACATGTCGGCAGCTTGAAAAATAAGAAAACACATCATGCATGTTGGTACTATATTTTTTTATTACATTTCATGGTTTATCACCCAGTGTATCGCGCTTAATGCTCGCCGCAGGGTGAAACCGACATCTCGCCCTGTGCATACGTCATTTACATATTTCAGATAAAAGTCTTCGCACAGCGCGCGTTCACACTTTAAGAACCATCACAGTGAATCTGCCCCAATTTATGATGCAAAAACAATACTTACTGTATTTCCTCTTGCTCACGATAGAATGAGACCTCGCTGTCGAAGCCAAGTACACAATAACTGAGATACACAACAGATAACGAAACATTGTGACAGTAACCTGAAGAAAAAGAAGAACAAACACACGAAAAATAACGTTCATGTAAGAATGTCATGGTTACTCTGCTTTATGAAACCATTCTTAGCATCCACTGGTCACGTGAGTACATACCTTTAGAAATGACGACGAAGTCCACACTCTAAGCAGTACAGCACAAGACTGACAGCAATGAATTAATTTTCATAATTTATACTGTTTGACCGGGCCGATGGGCACACCAGGATAATGCGAGACCGCCCATCACAGATGTTATTATGATGAATACAAAAAAACAAATAAATAAATATGAATGCAACCATTGTTCGTAGTTATTGCCAATACAACATATGGTGTATTTTTTTTCTTTTGATCGTGTCAATACTTGAATTTAAAAATATTCTCAATTCTTGCAGGTTGCTGTCACGTGATGGCCAATTCAAAGAATTATTTTTGTACTCCAGAAAAGTGTCATACTACAATTAGACTAATCATATGTCGAAAATGTAAACACTTGAAAAGCTAGGATATATTACGCATAGAGGCAGCAATATTAACCAAATAATTTGTGGGGCTAATCTGCACTGGCTCGGACGGTTGTAAATGATTAGCTAGTTTGAATTTGCATAACAATACTGACAATGAACGTGCATTCAACGCCACAAGTTTTTTTGTTTTTTTAGCCAATCAGAATTCATCTTCCGAGCCAGTGCAGATCAGCCGAATTTGTGAAGTTTTCTGAAATCAAATAGTAAACGATACCATCCCAGACTTGAACATTGCTCAAATTATGCCGATTTTCAATGACAATATTTTTTTTATTACGTAGATCAACAAGCATACCATTAACAGATATATATGCAAAATATTACAAATAGAGTATCACCAAAAATGAAATTTAATACGAACAAAAATAATTCAATTAAATACTGGAGTTAAAATAAAATTAGCGTATGCAATGTAAATGAATGATCTACCACGACTTGGTGAAATATATAATTTTTGCAAAGCTTACAGAATAGTTTGACTTGACGGAATCACAATCGTTGGTGGTGTTCATGTACTAGTACATTTCGCATACCTGAATCACCTCATCCGCTAGTTTGTCTAAGGTATGATTGGCTAGGACATTTTATTTTATTATAATATTACATTTCAATAAACCGTCTTTATAATGTTAATACATAATTACGTTTTTGCTGTAATTATTTGTCATTTAATGTGAACAAAAAGTCTTTTGTCTTGACATACTGGCAATGTTCTACCTTATTTGTCTTCAATTACAAACACATAAAGACAGCCACGCTTCCGTCCTTTTATTTCCCAGTGCCCGTAAGTATCATAAAAAACTATTAAAATTACACAGAATAGGTTGTAGATGTATGTTTTTTAGCATACCGGCAGTTTTACACCACAGTTGTCTTAAATAGCTACATTGATAAAATAACTCTGTATTTTTTTGGTCCTCAGTGATGGTAAGAATAATAATTTAATAAAACTAAAACCATTGAAATATACAATGCGAACACGTTCAAGAAACGAATGGTTGAGTGCCATGTTTTTCATGTCATGATAGGGCGATGTTCGTTCGATTAATATTGCAGGTTTCACCCATCAGCTGACAGAAAGCTCGTAGTAATGCATATATTTGACGTAGATTTCACCATAATTTAAAACAACATACATGCATAGTAATATTTTACCTGTTACTTTCCTGTACAGTGGTATAGCAAGCCAACTACAACAATATTCATCCGGTAAATGGCCATGAGAACACACGAGTACAATACTGAACTGTGCAAGCAAGCTGTTACGAGGGTTATACTGGTTAAAAAGCAGGAAGTTATCTGTCTGATCCCAAGGTGCACTGACATGCTGTCATCACACACAATATATTGAATAAAATACGATTAAATAGAATATGCTGTATTGTGTTTATGACACAGGGAAAGTTGTACAGTTCTCGCTTGATTCATAAATGTTGAAAGGCGGCAGTCGTCATGCCGCGTCTTGTTCGATATGAGACTCATAGCAACGTATACAACGCGTGTAATATACATTGTTTATTTACATAAAATTCGAACACGCGCTGCGCGACGACCACCGCGGTGTTCATTGATTAAGCTCGACTATAAATGTGTTCCTTCCCAATATACTATGTTCACTAAACTATATCCATTATGATTTCGTACAAAATGGTATTTAATAGCATCTGTTTAAAAATAAGTTCAATGGTATACCGTGCGCGACATGGGTCGCATGCGACGTATACACCGCGTGTAAAATACATTGTAATAGACAACCAACCTTACCGAAGACTTTGTGGATTAGAATTATCGACGGGTCACAGGGCCGAGGCGATCCAAAGACGGGAACTATTTAACCACGATAATTCTTGAACTATTCTCACAGATGTCAATAATTGAACTAATGTAATACAACACAGAACGTTGTTATACATTTGAAGCTACAAGTTTTAATATATTTAAGATTTATTTCTGCGTATTGATGTACCACTTTCACAGAATAGACGATGCCACGATATTTTTTGAAATTTAAAAAAAAAATCACTGGCCCATTTCACTACCGGCTGCTGTTTAAATTTACATATTTTCTGGCTAAAATTGCTGCATAAGTGTGTTATATAACTTTTTGGAAAGTAGATAAACAATGGAGTGGTGAGCAGAGAAAACACACCAGACACCAGTAATTATGTGTAATTTGAACTCGTGTGTTATTCAACCCGGTATAATTACTACACCTCTAAGTATCTATCATCGGCGGGTTGATTGACACACCAATACAAGTCAAAGAGTTAAATATAAACGTGCTCCGATCTGAATATTAATGTAAACGTGTTGGTAAATAAAGTGGGATAAATTTCAAACGTAGATTCGCTAAAGATCTTGATGAAAATTACTGTGCGCTTGACGTCAAGGAGGATTCAGATTATTACCCAGAATACAGTTCGTCAATTGACGTCACTGTGAAGTCGTGTCTTCTCTGAAATGGGATCTACATCTGACACAATACGTGCATTAATACTTGAAGCGGGAGTCACCACCTGCGCATGCGTCAGATGGCCATAGCGTGTCATTGCTTACAGACAAGCGTCTACCCATGAGCCTTTGCGTTTTTAGCGTGTGATGTTATTGTCGCTTGGGACTCAATTCCCCCGCTTGCGCAGGTAACGACCCTCCCGCTTTAATATGTGACCACACGCAAATACCACAGGGAGCTGGACAGACTTATGTATTTTAATAAATTATTAAATAATAAAATGTTATATAACTTTTCCTTTACCCCCCCCCGGTATCGATTTCAAGTAATCACTGATCTTTGTTTATACCACTCTTTCCTTTATCACAATCTTTGTTACCCGCTAATGTTATATGCAAATTTTAATGCGCGATGTAGACACACACTATTATAGTAAAATATCCA